AACTTCAGGTTTGCACCGGAAGTTACATTATTTCAATTCAAATATTTTCCCTCAAAATAGCTGGATAGACAACCGGCAGACTCTGTTGCTAGCAGAAAAAGTATGATGCACAGGGGCAAGACATTACTAATTTGAGGTGGAGAGAATATATTTTAAATTAAATAAATTAAAGACACGATTAAAAATTGCAGACCGGCCTTGTGACGACATCACAATAAATATTTGCTCGTTAATTTACCCTCATTTCTGCATTTATTTATTTAGGCAATGTATAAACTCGTATAGTACTTAATTTATGATTAATGAGATAAGGCAAAGCAACACAAGGTTCCTACATTGTGTTCCAACGGTACATTGTGCAAAAACTTTCTATGGAAAACTGGCTCTTATTTAGGTATTAGAAATGTGATGAAAACCCGGAAAACTACACGTGACTAACCTGTTGTTCCGGTACGAAACAACAATGTTCTGGGCTTTATCCACTCAGGTATTGGAAGGCCCCTTTCTCAGGAACATATACAGAGTTCTAATCAAGATATTGTTTTAAATATATTTAAAATTATTTCTAAATATTTGCATGATTCCCTGATTTCCTTGTCAGGGAATCATTATTTAGCTATATCAGAAATACCTTTGAATCATTGTGACTAATCATAAATTGTTTATTTTAAGATTAAAAATAAATAAAGATATAGTGTTAACATTTAAAACAAAAACTTTAAATATATTTAAATATTTTATGGTATTTGCTACACATTACTAAATATACCAAAGCTGCTAAGTAATAAGCAATCTAAAAGTACCAAGATTATTTTTATGCACTACTAAAAACTTAAAACAGTTAACTCAAATTTTACTTCAGTCATTTCTCTATCTTATATATTAGAAAAGTTATGATTTTAATTACTGTATTTTACGGCATGTAATACGTGACTTTTGTTCAAAAACATGCTGATAAAATAGCCCTGCGTCTTGTACAAAAGGATGATGAATTTCCCATATGTCCTTCAGCAGTCTATAAGTAACCTCTACCACGCCCAACACTTGAATAAGATTTTATTGTTTAATTAAATTTATCATTACTGTTATCATTATTCGCTACAGCTAAGCAGCTTTTTCATGTATTTATGTAAATATTTTCATGATAAATTTGAATTGTAAATGATTTATTTTAAACTCTTCTTTTTCCCTGATAAATAAAAGAGGTTTGTATTCTAATTTTACTTATTTTTTTAAAACCAGAATACAATAAAAAATTTTAAAAAATTAAAAATTTGGGGCCGAGTGCCAAAGACACGAGATGACTTAACTAATATACGCTAAATGCTTCTTTTTTTAAATATCTTATGCTAAAATAAGATTGTGTATTGTGTGCCTTAGTGCTTGCAAGTGGTTGAGTGAATAAAACCACTGAACACTGGAAGTGGAAGTTGAAAGTGGGTTCGCTCCTCACCAACGGATTGGCCACGTGGAGTATTCCGGATTTTCTTTACGTTAGTAATACCTAAATAGGAGGTCATTTTTCCAAACCAATCCTCCTGGAGCATTTCCCTTCGGTAGATCGCTCGCGCATCTACCAAATCTTATGTACTGTAAAATACAGTATCATTATATTGATAAGTATAGTTTCTAATACAATCAATTAGTATCTGAAATTTTTTAAAAAATTTGGTTATCTTTGATGCTGATTTATTTATTAATGATACTATTCAAATTTTATAATTTTCTTGAATAATTTAGTAAATGTTACATGCAAAAACCTTAGAAACTCACATCTTGTATAAATAAATTCACTCACGTCAATATACGTTAATTAGTAATTAAGTAGACTACTAAAATAAGTTCATACATTTAATAAAAAAAAATTCTTATTTAATTAAGCATATCAAATAAATAAAAAGTAAATATCGTTTACTTTAATGTGACAAATTTCCTATTTATTAAGTACATTTTAAAAAAGAATCCAGCAACGAGTTGCGTAACTTTCCCGGCAACAACATTTAAAACTACGTGTGGCACCATCTGTTATGATATTTTATTTTTAAAACTTTTTATTATTTTTAATTATTATAACATGACAAAAAGCTTAATTTTGAGGGTAGAAATGAGTTTCACATTTAAAAAAATGTAAATGCTAATAACGAGTAAAATCTTCATTAAGTCCGACCAGACTCGAGATATGACACGTGATTCCTTTTATCTCCCGTTCCTTCGACTTGTAACCACCAAAATTCATAGCATCAATCCTCTTAATACACAAATCTCCCTGCAAAATTTTAGAAATTTTCGACAAAAAGCGCAGGAGTTATTAAGCTTCGAACAGGGTAAACAAAATTTTACTTCCTCGTATGCACACAAATAGCCATACACACAGGGAAAAACCCCGAATTTTATTGCATTTCTCAAAATTTCAACGTTTCTTGACTCCAAAAATGTACACATTTCGAGGGGTCGTTTTGTGACCGACGCAATACTTTCCTCTGTTATATAAAACAGCCAGAAAAGTAAAAAATTAAATACAAATGTGATATTAACAATGATTTAATCAAGAAATTGCAATGTTCAACGTGATAAATGAACGGAAAAAATTGTTAATATTTAGGAATTAATATGCATAAAAGTAGACAGAAATTAAGACAATTAACATCATAAAAGATTAACTTGCAGAAATCTTTCATGGATATATCAAACCCGGTCTCTCTATGTTATAGTGTTAAAAAGTAAGATACTGTACTTGGCTTTATTATTTAATTTTTTGTTTATTCAATTGAAAATTTAAATTTTGTATTAATTTTTGCCATTGTTTAATACAATATATAATATAATTTTTTCATTTATGAAGTGATAGAATTTTTTTAATGATAAACTGAAAAACACTTTCTGATGTTTATTAAAACTTTGAAGAACGTAACAGCAAAAGGCATTAAAAATTAGAGGAAATCATCTAAATTGAGCTCAAGCTAAAGTTAGGAAGAACATTTCAATGATTTTTTTCATTAATTGCTTAGCAACGCGATCTTGCCTTGGGAATACGACGATAAGTTAACGAGTTAAGAGGAAGTTTAAGGTAAATAATTGCAAATCACTTCGATTTATAATAAATTACGACGTAGTATTACTACAAAACTTTTTAAATGTAAATTTATAATTGTTTTTTTAATTCTTTAGAGATTATACGCGGAAATTCTCGGATGATTTCGCGGAATACTGTATAAAAAACAACGCTCCACTGCCTTTTTTGTCACACGTTATTTTTTAAATTTACTTTTATTTTGTTACGTCACAATATTCTTTTATCACGCTGTTCTTTTTCCTCAGTTATCATCTTCCATTGTTGCGTGTTTCTTTGTCGTATAATTTAAAGAAAAACGTTTTTTTACCATCAAACATTTTAAAAACATTTTTATATACCCTTGTAACAAGAAAAAATATCATTATTTAGTCTCGTATAATCGATAAAAGAATAAATTTTCATAATAATTAACGTTCGTGCTTGAAAAATTTAAGTAAAGTACATAAGATTCTTCTGTGATTGTTGTTTAGAAACTTGTAATTAGTTGAGTATAGTGAATAAAGAACGTAAACAGAACAATCAGAAAGAAAGAAATAAGAGGATAAACAATTTTTGAAAATAGTAAACACAATTGGAAAAGCAGCAATCATTGAAGAAAGTGAAGATAGAGCAGAGGCGGTTGTTAAAGTATCCATTATTCTTCTATGATAGTTATTATGTTTACAAGGAGATACCTTTAAGTAATGGTTCCAGCATTTGGCTAAATATATACTTTATCTTTAGCACTATAATAGAAACGGTAGCGTTCTTTCTAAACTTTCAAACAGGAAATTAGATTTTTGTAGACTTTAAGATTTGCTACACTCCAATCAATTAAAGAGAATTTCGATTAAATTCCTTTAAACAATTTGTTATGTTTTAATACAGATTGTATGAGGAATACGAGTGCTCGTATCGTACTTTATATCATATTTAATTATTATGATAAATCTGAACACTGGAAGTGGAAGTTGAAAGTGGGTTCGCTCCTCACCAACGGATTGGCCACGTGGAGTATTCCGGATTTTCTTTACGTTAGTAATACCTAAATAGGAGGTCATTTTTCCAAACCAATCCTCCTGGAGCATTTCCCTTCGGTAGATCGCTCGNGGAATACGAGTGCTCGTATCGTACTTTATATCATATTTAATTATTATGATAAATAAGAATAAAATATGTACCATGTCTGGACATATTTTTGAAGAAGAATGTAATAATTGAGGCGGAGGGCTAGCGAAGGTTCTTCTGTTTGGCTTACAGAATTGAGTTCGTTCTCAAAATTTGATCGATCGATTTTGATTAAACTTCGTTATTTCCATTAATTGCGTTGAAAAATCTAAAAATGTAATAAAAAAGAGGATCCTTGACATCGTTTCGACATACAATGGCGTAAAAGTTACAATGTCCATGCTCCTTGAAGCAATTGAGAGCACCTAACTGAAAATGGGCGCAAAATACAAGAACAAAGCCATCGACGCCGAAGAATTTGTTCTTGGATCGCTTCTCCGTTTTGGCAAGTTTGTGTGTATATTTGAATTTCCTCTCCGTGTACTTGCCGACACGGAGAGGCGATCCGAAAAGTTAATGTGTTGTATGTGTGTGAGGGGTTCACACGCACGCAACACATTTACCATCCATACATATAGAAAAAACCTCCAACTATTTCTTTTTTTTTTGTATTTTTTGATGTTTCAAGGACCCGATAAAAAATGTAAAAATCTTGGGGAGGGTTATCTTTTGACCACCGTCATACTTTTCTTCTGTTATATATAACAGCAGGAAAAGTATTTAAAAAAAAATATATATATATAATTTACTGTTAAATTTTCGAAATAAAAGGTCTTATACAAAATAAGATTATAGAAATATCTAAAACAAGCTTGAAAGTAAAAATAATAAACTAGGAAACTTATTTACAAATCGCAATTTACGACGTGGAGTAACTTACCTTGTTAACAGGATCTCGTTTACAAGTTCTTGCACGTGTATATCTTCTATAGAAGCAAGATGTCCTCCGTTGTCCTTACAAACTTCGTTAGACGATTTCCAATCAGCTTGCATCGTAAATAGTTTATAGCAGTAATAAGAACCGGAAACCCAACCATAATCACAAGCAGTAAACGAGTCATTTTGCACCACAGTTCGATACACGGCACAGAAACCCCTTCCAGCTTCCATAGGTTGCAACATGCTCATACGTAACGTTACGAGGTTTTTGGCAGATTGAATCTTATTGGTTTTATCGGTCATGTTGCCACAAAAGTTAATTAATTTCTCTGTATCTTGTATTGTCATGTAATTTCCTTCACAGTTCAACGATCGACCGGTTTCTAAATATATAAAATCCAGATCGATACCATATCCCACGGGGGTGTTTATGATATAGTAGCACTCTCCGTAATTTCCGAAACTGCATATGTTGCCGCTTTCTTCTGTAACTGTCATATTCTGACACATTTTTACGGACTTATAAAAAATCTTCAAGTCAGACGTTCGGAAAGTGATGATCAATTTTACACCCGTAGATAAAAGATTCATCTGTTCTCTACCGGGGCACAGGGTGATGTTGCCAGATACTAGTAATGATACGGTAGCGTAATTGTCGGCGCATTGATCCGTTACGCTCGATTTTCTTTTGGGAATTAACAGATAAATATGTTCGTCAATATTATCAGTAATAATCTGAATGCTGCATTCTCGCTCCAGAGATTTTCCTGGATTGGTAAAGATGCCTTGTTGACTGTTTAGGACGGCGATGCAACCTAAATATGTTTATTTAAAGGAATTTGCATGAAATTTTTTAATTGTAAAGCCTTAAAGTGTTTTAAAATTCTTAAATATTCATGAATTTCTACGAGCGTGAAAATACCCGTACAGGCCCGTCAAGCCCGTACAGGCGCCATTTTCTTTACAGAAAAATCTTATTTTGTTCCCAAATAAAACCAAAAATGGCTTACTTAAAGAAAAAATAAGTTTTTCAAGTTATGTACATAGTTTTTTCAAGAAAAATCGCTAATTAATAGTTTTAAAATGAAAATTTTTTATTATACAGTACATCTCATATAACTATCTATAATGCAATTTTAATTTCCATAAAATTGTAATTACAAAAGAATTTAATAAAAATTCAGTAATATAATTTATCTTTTATTATATTTAATTTTCGTTGTATAAATTTTAAAATAAAAATTAATTATAAATTCATTTAGAAAATCGTTAAATCGACTTACCATTTTTAATATCTAAAAATGAAGTTCCAATTTTAAATTGACATTTTTGGCATGAATGAAATCGAATGAGTAAATTCCCTTCTAACGATTCTATCCAGTGATAAAGATATTCTTCTAAATTCTCTGAGTTTATAATAATATCTACGAAACTTTCTGAATTTAAATGAAGAGCGATGTAACCTTCATCGGATAAGAGCACATCCTGAAACTTTACGTAAGAAATTAATTAAAATATACAACAATTTTACTTTAAATACATTTTAAGTTCACATTTCAAAAGGAACTAATTAGCAGAATGGCGGCATATTTCACACGGAGACGTTTGTATTAAGAGAATTTTATTTAAAACAAAAAGCAGTTAGTTACAAAAATGTCCGCTAGGACGGTAAATGGCGCTGAAACATCGTACTGGGAACTTAAGATACATATAATACACTATGTGACTAGGCAACAGCATGCTCGATATGTTGTCCTTTATTGTGGGAAACATATTAATACGATTTGTATGCAAATTTCCATTCTTCTCGTGTGTTTTGTGATCGAACATGCATTTGGAGATTTCAGCATGCTTCTGACAACAAAGGCCAACATGCAAGTCCACATGTATGTTAAGTTTTGAGACGTGTTATCTAAAACTGTATTACAGAGCCATTTACGACCCTAGCGAACATTTTTGTAACTAGCTGTTTTTTTTTTTTTGCTTCAATTAAAATTCCTATCATCAGAGATGATTTCGTGTAAAATACGACACCATTCTGCCGTTTTGTTTTCGAGTTATAACTTTTTAAAAATGTAAACTTAAATTACGAGCTGTGTACTTAAAAAAGTTTTAAATTTTATAAGTATTAGAAATTTTTCAGCATCAAAGGTTTAAAACCTAACTTAAAGCAATTTTTCTTGACATACATGCATAATTAATTAATACCAACATTTAACATNTCACTTCGAAAATAAAACTTTTAAAGTATTTTGGGAGCAGATGTGACGTATGAATTTCCCTTACATTTCTAAATATTTGATTTTGTTTAAAAAGACATCAAAAAAAATAAATATTTCAAGCGAAACATTTTCCAGACTGTTAAAACTGTCGCGCGACGTAGCAATCACTTAATGGATAGAAAGCAGATATAAGAGTAAGGAATAATTTAATTTTACTTACACTAAACAAAAAATATTTTCTATTTACAAAATCAAAAGCTTCCTTATTTTATTACTTCAAATTCTTTTTTATATTTCTATCTTTTACTCATTATTTTTATGACAAAATAAAACAAATTTTGCTCTCCTAAACCTACCATTTTACATAATGTACCAGAGAAATAATGAAACTTTTTAAAAAAATTCTTATTCTATCGTAATTTATAGATTTTAAAGAACCACAATGGGAGAAACAAACAAATTTTTATTTCTTTAAGAATTAAAAAATAAAAATTCATAAAGGTATCGGTATCGAATTCTTCCTGTGATTCTTCCTCGAATCTTTAAATTAGAAAGATAAAGTATAATTTTAATCGAGACAGAATGAAAAGTTCTAAACCCCAAACTTTGAAAAAGAAATTAATATAAAATTCTATTAGATTCTTGGAATTTCCACCACAGCACAGGGTAGGATTGGACTGGATTGATAGTATGAGACAAAGACTACCACCTGTTAACGAGTACGTGCCTCCAGGTGGACTTTTAAAAATTAAATATTCAATTCATATTTATATACTGTATATAAAGTTTAGAGATATATGAAAATATAATTACTGCGCAAGTTATAATTCCATATTATTCGTACGTAATAAATAATAGTAGTTATTTTTTAATTCGATTTTTTGTTACTTACTTGGACAAGTTGACGCGAGTCAGGCGGAGATTTTGGATAAATGTTAAAAACAGAACAGTTAGAAAGATAACGAACATCTGAATATGTTAAATCTCCTTGAGGCACCATGGCTTGAAAACAATCTAGCAACCAAATAAACAAAAATATATAATAAATACTTTAATTATTCGAAAAAATTGCAATATATAAATAAATTAATGTAAATGTAGTTGTCATAAGAGATGAAGCAAGAGGAGATTTAAGGAGACATCTTCTAGTACTTTCAAATGTATAATCGATAACATGAGAGACAAGTTTGAGTATAATCAATAGGTAAATTTGTACTTTGATGAGTAGAAATCAGCAATTATTACAACTACTGTCATCTTTTATTGTGCAATATACTCAACAGCCGTCATTAAATCGGGCAATCCAGAAGTCCTTCAACATAGCAGCCACTTGCTGTTATGAGAACCGCCATACGAATAATAAACATGTATTAACAAAATGCAGGTGCATGTCTAAGCGAAAATCAAAAATCCCGTACTGAATTAAAGGAAAATAGTTTAGTTCGCTGTTGGTGTCAATGGTCGTGGGTTCTCTCCTCAACAACAGGCTTGTCATATGAAGTTTTTCGGGTTTTCTTCGCATGTCTAACATCTAAACAGGGGAAATTTTCTTAGAAATCCTTCTGAGAAGCATCCAAATTTAAGAGATCGCCCAAGTGTTGCATTGTCTTCTTCCATAAATCGAATCCAATCCAGTTAACCGTTACATAAAGAATATTAAAAAAATTAATTCTTGGCACTGCAAACGGCTGCTATTGATACATCGAAGGACTTCTGGATCACCCAGTATAAGCAGAAAATATATAATGAATTGATTTACACTTATATTGTATTTAATTATTCAAAATCTCCATACAAAATATACACTAATTTATACTTGTGTGTACACATAACACCAGATGTGAACACGAATTTACCATGAGTTGAAGGAAAACATTCTATATAGATGCGATTCACATTGAAATAAACTCCTTGCTATGTATAGAGACTATCCAATCTGTACAATTAACATTGTAGAATTAATACTAGAATTATAATGTACAGATTTTTGTACAAAGGATGCAGAATAGTTAATTTATTTGTGAAAATAATTTCCTAATTTAGAAATTCTAAAAGATGTTTTGTAATACAGCGTAAATCAATTTACTTTAGCTCAACAGTACAAAACTTGTAAACAGTTAGTCGTGGGTTCGTGCCTCGCTAACAGGCTTGAGACGTGGAATTTTCCTGATTTTCTTTACGTTTATAACTCTAAAACAGGCTCCAGTTTTCATAAAATTCTTCCTAGGAGTGCGTGTTGCATTACCATATACAAACAAATACACTTTTAAAAAACTTTTAAAGCAATTTTATTTATGAAATCTGCAGTTAATCAGCATAAATGTTGTTTTATCTGAGATTTATAAAAAAAAAACTAAAATTCATTATTTAATAAATGCATATGGATCCGCAGAATTTTTAAAGTAAACAGAAAGTTCCATTTAGTGATTTTTCACTTCGAAAATAAAACTTTTAAAGTATTTTGGGAGCAGATGTGACGTATGAATTTCCCTTACATTTCTAAATATTTGATTTTGTTTAAAAAGACATCAAAAAAAATAAATATTTCAAGCGAAACATTTTCCAGACTGTTAAAACTGTCGCGCGACGTAGCAATCACTTAATGGATAGAAAGCAGATATAAGAGTAAGGAATAATTTAATTTTACTTACACTAAACAAAAAATATTTTCTATTTACAAAATCAAAAGCTTCCTTATTTTATTACTTCAAATTCTTTTTTATATTTCTATCTTTTACTCATTATTTTTATGACAAAATAAAACAAATTTTGCTCTCCTAAACCTACCATTTTACATAATGTACCAGAGAAATAATGAAACTTTTTAAAAAAATTCTTATTCTATCGTAATTTATAGATTTTAAAGAACCACAATGGGAGAAACAAACAAATTTTTATTTCTTTAAGAATTAAAAAATAAAAATTCATAAAGGTATCGGTATCGAATTCTTCCTGTGATTCTTCCTCGAATCTTTAAATTAGAAAGATAAAGTATAATTTTAATCGAGACAGAATGAAAAGTTCTAAACCCCAAACTTTGAAAAAGAAATTAATATAAAATTCTATTAGATTCTTGGAATTTCCACCACAGCACAGGGTAGGATTGGACTGGATTGATAGTATGAGACAAAGACTACCACCTGTTAACGAGTACGTGCCTCCAGGTGGACTTTTAAAAATTAAATATTCAATTCATATTTATATACTGTATATAAAGTTTAGAGATATATGAAAATATAATTACTGCGCAAGTTATAATTCCATATTATTCGTACGTAATAAATAATAGTACATTATACGACTATCTGTAATGATTATTTACTGGGAAATATGAAAAAAAAATGCAATTTTATAATATAATTCATCCAAACAACAAATAAACGACTGCTGAAAAAACCGCATATATACGTTTTTATATATACGTCGTGGGTTCGCGCCTTGCCAACGAGCTGGCCACGTAAAGATTTTCGGGTTTTCTTCACGTTTGTAACACCTAAAGAGGAGCCAATTACAGTTAGAATCTGACCCTCTTTGCAGATCACCCACGTTTACCGTAAACAAATAAACCTAACTAATTTCTGTTTGTATTCTTGTCTACTTTGGATCGCGTTTATTAATAGGACTTATTACACTGGTGTAGTTTCTGTTTAGCAAATAGAGGATGCAAACAGAAATTGATAAGAGTAAGGACACAGTGGCAAAAAGAATTAAAATAAACCTAAACTTCCTTATCATGCATAAAAATGTAATGACGTGGGTTTTTAAAAAAACTAAACAAAACAGACATTAAAATCTTTTAGTTTCTTTTACGACAAGTATAAATTTCTTCATTTCAAATGAGTTATAAATTTCGAAGCTAAATGTGATTAAAGATGGCAGATTATTACATTGCTTACCTTATTAATGAACGTCGAAAAAGAATTTAAGATAATCAAATTAGTATATTCAATCATTTTCTAGATTAAGACATGCGGGAATACCTCTTCATTTCTTTCTTCAAAACCTACGTTAAGCATTAATTTAACCATCACTAATAGGAATGCAATTTTCCAATGATTTATGTCCTAACTATGAAGAGGTAAAACATTGCAGAAATTTTTCTTGGAAATTTTCTTACAGGATGTCAATTCCGCTTTAAATCTTGTGCATTTTCAATAAAATAATTCAAAAATTTAATTGGTACATCGGTTTAATTGGTACAGTCACATAAGTTTGGTTTATTTGTTTATGACAACACGACAAATGTGCAATTTTCCGAAGAGGTGCTTTCAGGAAAGATTTTACGGAACACTGGCCCCTATTAACGTGTTACAAACGTAAAGAAAACCCAAAAAACTCCATGTTGTCCGCCCGTTGGCAAGGCGCGAACCCACGACAAACTGTTGTACCAGTTTACCACTCTGCCATTGGGGGACTCAGAATTACATAACGATAAATATTTTATACAAACCAAGCTTCAACTAAAGGTATAACAAAAAAAACATCAAAAGAGCGGCCGGATGGCTAAGAAGCTGAGATGGCAGTCTATCACTCCAGAGGACCCGGGTTCTAATTCAGACGGATTTAAAATCTCCAGGAATTTTCCGTTGTGGGCCCGGAAGAACCCATAACGGGCTTGCTAAAAGGACTCTTAGTACCCACACAGCTAGAAGAATTTTAAAAAAAGGCCAGAAGAGGCAGTGAAAGGTTATCGCTATGTGAATCATTCAGATGATTACTTCTTAAAGACGTTTTAATGAATATACGGCCAGCACTATACGATTTTTTCAGATATTTTAATTCTATGTTAGAATGCCTTCATGAAATTTCTAAAGCATAGTTTTATTTCATTATTGCTTAAACTAGCATAGCAGTTCGTATGTTCTTTAATCGTGTTGCACAAATTTTAATTATTGTATAAATATATTTGCATTGTAATTGTAAATATTCTGAAGTAAAGCATAGGATCGAAGTGCCCCTCTAAGTAAAGGTTTAGAAATAAATACAGGTAATACAGGAACTGTATATAATATATACAGGCAAAATAAATACATCTTGTTTGATGGTTAGTTCGATTCTTGGAAACCCAATATTAGTTTCTCCTGTTAGTTTATTAATAAAGGTTTAACTGTTGTAAACTTTACATGTTATTTTTATGCATTATAATAAATATAAAATCATTCAGTCAGCAAAAATTCATACAAATATGGTCTGTTTGAGTGTTGCATAATATAAAGATTTATACAAGTAAATATCTACTTTTAATAAGAATATTTTCGTTATATTATTTATAAACTTACTACAAATTTAAAAGAAAGTTTTTAATTTATTTTATCCATACGTCTGTAATGAAATAAAACAGCAGAGTTAATAGCAAAGTTTAACTAAGCATAAAGTAATAATTAAAGATTTTCTTCCTTTCACATTTAATGAATTAAACAAAAAACATAAATATTCGGTTTTTAATTAAGAAGCCATTGTAAATAAGATTAATTGAAAAATATAATAACAAATTTCATCTGCAATAATAATTCAGTAAAAATTTTTAATGAAAACATAAAATTTAAGTAAACATAGGAATAAGAAGCCCTTTCTCGCGTCGTAGTTGGTTAGATAAGACCCTAAATTGAGAGGTAGGCTGGTAGGGGATAGAGAGACAAAGCCCTATATATTGTATCTAGAGAAACCACGATAAACCTATATTTACTTAAAGTGAATAAGTCTGGCCCCATCCCTAATTACACGACCATCCCCATTTTGGGCCTAGCCAAAAACCATGATGGGTGTGATTAAAAAGCCTTCTTACTATTTAAGAGTAAATTTGATTTTATTCGTCTACGGCAATCTGCCGCGGGGGGGATGCCACTCAGGAGAACTTTTAAAGAATACTGGCCCCTATTTAGGTGTTACTAACGAGAAATAAACAGGAAAAACTCCACGTGTTAAGTCTTCTGGCGAGATTCGAACCTGCGACTAACTACCAGTGTTCGGTAATGTCATCCATTCGGTCACTGATGGGCTCATTCAAGGGCGGAAGAAGTAAAAGAAATTTTTTAATACGAAAAATATTGTAAATATTCTTTGTATTTTTATATAATAAGCAAAAAATCCAGCAATCCAGCANCAACGAGTTGCTTAACTTTCCCCGAAACAAATGAAACTGCGTATGGCGCCATCTGTTATGATGTTTTATTAGTTTTACAAAGGAATAAATTGGCAGTTGGGATCATACATTTGCCTGTTTCTATGCTAATTTAGCGAAAAACGGCAATGGCAGGTCTATCGGTAACATATGTTTCTATGAAATTTTTGTTATATGCGGACCAAAGTATATTTTAGCAATCCAGCAACAAGTTGCTTAACTTTCCCGGCAACATTTAAAACTGCGTATGGCGCCATTTCTTATGATATTTTACTTTAAAAAACTTTTTATTACTTTTAATTATCATAACATGACAGAAAGCTGATTTTCAGGGTGGGATGAGTTTTATAAACATTTGTAAATGATAATAACGAGTAAAATCGTTATTAAGTCAGATCCTATTCCAGATACGAAACACGATCCCCTTTATCTCTCCACACCTTGACCTTTAACCACCAAAATTTAATAGCATCAATTCACCTAATACACAAACCTCCCTGCAAAATTTCAGAAATTTCCGAAAAAAGCCACAGGAGTTATTAAGCTTCAAAGAGGATAAACAAAATAATGCTCCATATACACTAATATCCATATATACAGAAAAAAATACCCGAATTTTTTGTATTTCTCGACGTTTTAAAGTCCACTGAGTCCAAAAAATATGTAAAAATAGTGAAGAGAGGATTTATTTTTTGAACTTTCGCCATACTTTCCTTTTGTATAACAGAGTGAGGAAATTGAAGAAGTGAATAATTTAAGTGAAAGAATAGCGAGAAACAAACAATAAGATGTAAAGAAATCTTTTATACTTACTATTTCTCCAACCGTAGTAATCGGTGTGAAAAACCCATTCTTCTTCACTTATCGATCGCAAAATCCTACAAAGACAAATGATTCAACAAGGCAATCATCCAGCAAAACAAAAAAAATTTCAACGTTTTCTACTTACATTAATTTTATTTTTGAATTTTTTTGTACGTGACTCGGTATCCAAATGAGGGAGAAAGAACCTTTTACAGTGTTTGTAATTATTGTCCCGTTAGATGATCCACAAATTGTATATCCGTCACCAGGAATACGAAATTCACCTTCGGATAATAGAGCAACTTTTGATATCGACGACGTGACTCGACTCGATAAATGAACGTTGACTGAAAGCAAATTAATGGATAAAAAAATCAAGAGAAATTCGCACAAATTTTAAATAAATTTTACCTGTTTTGTGGGTTAAATAATTTTTTAATTGTTTAATAAATTCAGAATTGTATTTTCTTGAAATTTTTAATGTTAGATGCATTAGGCATTTTCATAAAATGTTTTTTTTTTATTAATTAAAGACTTTTAAATAAAAAATATTCTTAAATTTAAATAAATTATATTTAAAAAAGAAAATATAGTCAATGCACGTTTATCCGTATCAAACGGAATTATATAACCCGACAGAATCTGCCGAGGGGGTGCCTCACAAGAGAACTTTTATGAGAAACTGGCCTTTATGTGTTACAAATGTGATGAAACCCCGGAAAACTCCACGTGGCCAGTCTGTTGTCGAGGTGCGAACACGCAACCAACTACCAGTGTTCGATGGTTTTATTCATTTGGTCAATGATGAGCATTTTTGGTCCTGGAAACATGAGATTACTGCATTGGCAATTTGCATATTACGGTTGAAAATAATGTTTCAATGGTCTCACAGTGCAAAAGTAATAATTTTTTTCACTGTGAGGGAATCCGGATAAACGGGGTTTGACTGTATGTATACAAAATAAAAGCTATGAAATTCACAATTTCTATGAAGAAATTGAAGTGAATTTCAGCTAGTTATATTGAATTTAAGGGAAACTTTAAAATATTTTTTCACTTTTGCTAGGAAACTTCAAAGTTTTTATTCATAAATCCTCAATGATCTCAAATTTTACAAGATTCGATAGTCTAAGAAATAAAGAAATATAAAACGAGTCATCCATCAAAACCGAGTTTCTTTTGAAGATAAATGAAAGGAATTTGAGTTGAAAAAAAGATAACGTCTTTTATGTGAAATACAAGTTAGTAGCGGTGAAACAGGATCGACTGACAGAAATATCAAGCGAAGGATTTGTGAATGGAAGTGTCTGCCAGTATAACGATTTGCAATATATGACGATAGATGACAGAAGTAAAAATTGTAAAAAATACAACTATTTATATTTATTTCTACTCCCGTAATCAATCATCTTTAAGGTAATCATATTTCCAACTCATCTTTACTTTTGTATGACATGTATTACAATGGTTAATGCATATTCATCAAAACTTACTCCTATCATATTTTTCCAATGTATTATTTATCTTCTGCGTATGCTTTCTACATACATTTTTCAGACTTTTTATCTGAAATTGAAGAAAATATATCTAAATACAGTATTCACATATTTTATCAGTAAATAGTAACATATTTTGAACTTCATAGTCTCTAATTTAATAAATTGAATGTCTGTTACACAAGTGAACGAGTGGATAAAACCACTGAATACTGGTCATGGGTTTGCGCCTTGCCAGCAGACTGGTCACGAGGAGTTTTCCCTGTTTCTTTACGTTTATAACATTTAAATAGGGGACAGTTTTCCATAAAAGACCTACTGAGAGACATCGCCCATTTGTGGTGTTGACCTAAACAAATGAAAAGTTGCAACGCCTACTGTTACAAACACTACATATTCGTTAAATAAGTAGTAATATACTTTTATTAGACATTAATATAAGACGTAATTTCATGTGATAATTAAAAAATTACATATGAAAATATTGAAATTTTTTGCATCAGCTCAAAAGAAGAAGAAGAGAAGACAATCTTCTTTCTTTTTCTCTTGCAATTATTTGAAAATCGAAATTCTGATATTGCAAAGCATGCAATGTTTGACATTTTCAATTTTACTACTGCAATTTTTATGATAGAGATTCCAAAAAAATAAAAATATAGAATCTATTCTTGAATATAAATTTATTTTTATTCGAATTTATATGTATATAATACTGACATTTACATGAAAAGTGTAGGAAGACACGTTCGAAGAAACAAAATTATTGATTATATGGTGTACAGTACCGTGATGACTGAATTTATTTTTCTTTTATAAAATTGGATAAAAATATTTACGTTATAATTTTGCAATTTTATATGGAATTTACATTTAATTCAATTTCATGTTCGTATTTACTCAATTCCTGTAACTGTGACAAGACTAAAACAAACTCCTCTGCAGCCTCTTCTTATCTAACAGTAATGTGTGTTGGTTGTCTTTATTCTTGTACCACTCAATTCTACACCATAGTCCATTTTATTTTCATTTACAAGAGAATTAATTAAATTATTTGCTCAATTTTCACTACAATTTCAATTAATTTATAAATTCAACGAGTAATTATTTATTGTTACATCGTCACAATGTCAAGCTGCAATTTTTTTAGATCTCGATGCACAATGCTTTGAATTTTAGTAGTGTTTTGCCCCGTACATAATACTTTCTCTGTTAACGAGAGAGTCACATCGGTCCTCTAATTCTTTGTGGAGAAAATTTTTAAATTCAAATAACATGACTTCTGGTTTAAACCGGAAGTTCGTATATAGTTAGTTAATCGGGGCGTCTACTCATGGACTTTTTATAGCTGTCTCGATTTTCATCTAACTCCGTTCTCGAGATTAAGGAAATACAGACAGACGGACGTAATGAAAATTTATAAGTTTGCAATTTTAAAAATGCAGCCTAACACTTTCATCGAAACGAGCCCACAGTGTCGAATGCATAAAACTAATAAACACTCGGTTACGGGTTTGCGCCTCAACAACGTGCTGCCCAAGTGAAGTTTTTCTGCTTTTCTTTTTGAATTGAAATTATTTTTTTTTTGTTTAATAAGAAAAAAAGATTAATTAAATTCAGCTTGGTTTCTTCCAAAAACGGATATTCAAATTAGAAAATTATTTAAGACAGAAAATATACAGGCATACCTCGACTTACGTCGGTTTCGAGTTATGTCTTTCCTGATTATACGTCGCTTGTTAAAAAAGTATATGGAAAAATAAAAATCAAGTTTAAGTCATTTTATTCGACTTTACGTCTGTCCGCCACAAATATTGAAGTCGTAATATCACTAGATAAACGTTTAAAGCACATAAAATCATATTAAAATATATACAAGTATGTACTGTATTTACAGTACACGCATTCGTAAATTTAGATTATTTTTTTTGTACTATATTAAAAACTAAAATTTATTTGTTTGTAAGCTTAAAATAGATTTTTATTAACCATATATTATTTAAAATGCTTTCCTAGTGATAAGTAGATTCGGAGACAGGTAAATTCGACTTACGTCGTTTTTCGACTTACGTCATTTTCCTGGAACCAATTACCGACGTAAGGCGAGGTATACCTGTATTTTATTAAAACGTAGAAATTAAAATTCTGTTTTCGGTGAGTAAATCTTTACTATTAAGAAAGAAATCCACGAGTCCAACCACGAAAAAGAAAAAATCTAACCAATTAACTGCAGAAAACTCAAAACAAAGGTGAAATCTAGGAACTCAATATGTTTCACAATAATTCTCAATAATATACGCGCTGATTCATCTTCTAAAATGATTTTAAATAAATAAATAATTTTTATCGTATTTTAATTTAAAAATAAGCTTTCCATATCTGGTCTCGATTTTCATCTGCCTAATTCCGTTTTCGAGATTAACAAATAACGGACATACAGACTGACGACAGTGGAAATCTATAGGTTTGCAATTTGAAGATTGCATTACAATTATTATTCATACAGTACCTTGGGATAGTTAACTTGGTTTGGTTTGGTAGGATATGGCAACGCAACATACGGTCAATGTGCCATGGAAAAGACTCCGAGAGGACTTATCTTGAGAAACTGGCTCCTATTTAGGTGTTAAACATGTGAAGAAATTCGGAAAATTTATGAGGCCAGCCCGTTGGCGAGGCGCTAAACCGGGACGAACTACTATTGATTTTATTCACTCAATGGGCAAGTATAAATTCTGCATTGTTCGCACTGCATCAATGTTATATTTATCTGTTCAATACGTCTGGATTCATTAAAACATATTGAACGTTTAAACATCTAACGTGACGGCCGGATGGCCCGAGACTGTTAAGGATTCATCCTACCTCGAGATCAAATTCGAGAAACCGAGATCAAATTCGGGCGACAAAACCCACGAAGTTTTCATAGGCGATAAATCTACAATATGCGAGGTACCGTCCATGATCACCCTTCGGATTCGTGGGTTCGATCATCCTGGACGAACCCACGATGAGCCCGGAAGAATGGTTCTCTTATTGCCCATACGGATGAAAGAACCAAAAACCAAAGAAATGTTTCATAAGTTTTAAATAGAAAACCCTTATATTATTTCCTAAATGCACAGTACGATTTCGTAATTTAAACTGTCCTGTCTTCTCCAAATTACTTAATTTCCAAGCTCTCAAACCTCAATACTTCATACAATTTTTATCATTTGGCATACTGTACATCGATTTAGCACTACATTCAACTTAATGGTCGCGTTAAATCGAGATTTGTATCCTAAACATAATCTAGGTTTAAAATATAATAAAAGATACTATTAATCTATCTACGGTTANTTTCTTTTTCTCTTGCAATTATTTGAAAATCGAAATTCTGATATTGCAAAGCATGCAATGTTTGACATTTTCAATTTTACTACTGCAATTTTTATGATAGAGATTCCAAAAAAATAAAAATATAGAATCTATTCTTGAATATAAATTTATTTTTATTCGAATTTATATGTATATAATACTGACATTTACATGAAAAGTGTAGGAAGACACGTTCGAAGAAACAAAATTATTGATTATATGGTGTACAGTACCGTGATGACTGAATTTATTTTTCTTTTATAAAATTGGATAAAAATATTTACGTTATAATTTTGCAATTTTATATGGAATTTACATTTAATTCAATTTCATGTTCGTATTTACTCAATTCCTGTAACTGTGACAAGACTAAAACAAACTCCTCTGCAGCCTCTTCTTATCTAACAGTAATGTGTGTTGGTTGTCTTTATTCTTGTACCACTCAATTCTACACCATAGTCCATTTTATTTTCATTTACAAGAGAATTAATTAA